CTTTTATATTGGATTGTCTTGCTTCTGCATTTCATTTATTTCTTTAAAGGTACTTTGCATTTGATGCTAGATAAGTTCTGTGTAAATAAATGTATGACATTATTGCTGTTTGGTTCTTCTTTACACTTTATGTACATACATTTTATTTCCCTGGGTTAAAACAACAGCTTCAACTCACCTGATCACCTGATGTTCTCATGGTTCAGAATAACCCCATCAGTTATTGTGGATCTTAAATGATATTGACAAATTTCACCAGAACACTTCTTTTATGAAGAGAAATCAAATATGTACATACATATATTATAATCATGACCTGCAATTCTCCCACAACAGAAGAGAAAATTTTCTATTTTTATACACTCAATCAGCAAGTTTTCTAACACAATACTGGCATATAAAGACGTAGCCCTTTGCACACCAAGACCATTTTTTATTGAGATATGAAAAGATTTTTTAATCCATATTAATCCAGTATTACTGGATCTCAGTGCTGCATTTGATACGGCTGACTACAACATATTGTGACATCAACTGGAAATCTGGGTGGGACTTTCTGGCACGGCACTAATCTGGTTCAGTTCCCACTTAAAGGATAGAGACTACTTTGTGTATATAAATAATTATACATCTGAGTGTACAAAAATGACGTGGAGTTCCCCAAGGCTCCATTCTGGGACCTCTACTGTTTAACATCTACATTCCTCCACAGTCTCAGATTATGGTGGAAAAAATCCATCCATCCAGCCAGCCATTTTAATCTGCTTAGCCAGAACTCAGGGGGCAGCGGGATGACCAAAATACTCCAAATGTCCTTCTCCCCAACAAAGCTTCCTCCTGGGGGATCCTGAAGTGTCAGCAGGGTCAGATAAGGTATAATCCCTCCAGCATGTTCTGAGTCTACCCCAGGGCCTCCTACCAGTTCGACCTGCAGGAGACATCCATGAGGCATACTGTTTGATGGCCAAACCACCTCAACTGGCCCCTTTTGACACAAAGGAGCAGCGGCTCTATGCTGAGCTCCCCTACGGATGTCTGAGCTCCTCACCCTATCTCTGAGGCTGAGGCCAGTTACCCTCCGGAGGAAGCTCATTTCTGCTGCTTGAATCTGCAATCTCATTCTTTCTGTAACTACCGAAATCTCATGACCATAGGTGAGGGTTGGGACTCAAATGGACTAGGAAATCAAAAGCTTCGCTCTCTGGCAAAGGTGAGGAAATAAAACAAAATGTTACCATAATTATGCAGATGACACACAAATTTACATAACCATATTACCAGGGACTTTGGTCCAATACAAGCTCTGACTGAGTGCATTGAACAAATCAATTATTGAATGTGTGACATTTTTCTCCAAATAAACAAAGGCAAAACTGAGTTAACTGTTCTTGGAGCCAAGAAGCAACAATTAAAAGTCAGTGCTCAGTTGACGGACCAAGCCAGAAATCTTCATTTAGTCATGGACTCAGACCTGAATCTCAATAGCCACATTAAGACAATTGCAAAGTCAGTCTATTATCACCTTAAAAACATATCAAGGATAGAACGACTTGTGTCTCGGCCAGATTTACAAAAAAAACCCCACTGTCCATGCATTTATTTTCACTAGACTTGACTACCGTAATTGTCTTTGCTGATCTCCCTAAAAAAAACTGATCAGACAGCTGCAGCTGATTCAAAACGCTCCTGCTTGAGTTCTCACTAAGACCAAGAAACTGGATCACATCTGTCCAGTTCTGTTCTATCAGTTTCAAAATACTACTGTTGGTTTACAAAAGCACTGGATGGTTAAGGTCCGATTCAATATGAAATCAAAAGCTGCATTTAAGTCTGCCTTGAGAGATGAGGGGGAGCATTTGATGACTGTGATAATGAGACCAATTTCTCAAGAATAAACATTTGATTCCCAACCACAGAAGTGTAGATTTAAATGTCATGATTCTCTACATGCAGGATACCTGATTACAGACTGAACTTTACAGTCTTTCACAGTTATGAGATACAAATCTGCATGTTTCCAAATTTCTTGTGATAACATCAACACAGCAGCAAAAAATGAGCTGCCTGAGGAAATCAAAGGAAGTGGAGGTTTGTCACTGAGAGTGATGAACATGATACTTTAATGATGGAACTCACTAACACTAGAAAAGAAGTTGGATGTCGACCTGGTGTTTAGACGAGGACACATATGAGCACACATATGTATTATATTACATCATAAACCTATGGCAGTAAGGGTAAGGACATCCTTATGTTGCTGTGTCATTTTAAAAACACACACCTAGTGTCAACAACAACAACAACAACAACAACAAAAACCTGACTTCATCAGTCTCTATTTCTTAGGCTAGATCTCCTTCTTTTCTATACTTTGACAAGAGAAATCACATTTATTCAGGGAAATCATTAAGGGATGATGGCTTTTAGACATCATTTTGTTATCTGTTTCTCTGAACACTGAAGGTACAGACGACAACTTGATCAAGAAGTTAATAGAAGGACATCATCAAAACACACAGACAAATAGTGTTTTCAGATAGATCAATTAAACAAACTACAAAAAAGATGGAATAGGCTTTCCAAGACCTACCAAAGAATAACAAAATGATAATGTATTGGACACCAGGGACAGTGGTGACAGGGGCAGTTGAATTCCTTTCAATAAGAAACAAGTTGGAGTGATTACATCACTCTGCACATATTCAGTGAGATTGTCTTCTTGTTTACAAAAAAGCAGCCACATTTAAAAATTCCAGGCAGGAGTCAAACCCAGGCCGCTGTGGCAACAGCCTTGTTCATGAGGCGCCAGCTCTACCACTAAAGGCCAAAACACACCGGCGCCAGACGACGTGCATCAAAACAGCCGCTCCCATTATTTTCTATTTACAAACCCACACCGGCGGCGGCTCGACGCGTGTCGACGTGCCGCACCGCGGCACTTTACGCTATTGTCCTATTTTTCCAGCGTTGCCACCCTTGAAAAAGCGCTATTTTGTACTTCCCAGCTCCCGCGGACTGGAGTGTGCAATAGACATCCGGTTGACGCCCCGCAGCGTGACGCTTTTTGTGTGTGTTGGGGGCGGCACTTGACTCGCGTCAATGATGCCACCGTCATATGACGCCGCCGGTGTGTTTTGGCCTTGAGCCACCAATGCCCCAAGGGTTTGCTCGTTTTTTTGGTGTTATTTGTTTTTGTTGGGTTTAGTTGTTTGTTTGTTTCTTTTTTTTCTTGGTTTGTTTTGGTGTTGTTGTTGTTTGTTTGTTTCTTTCTTTCTTTTTAGGTAAAATTTTAACTTTGGATACTGTGCTGAGATCAAATGTCAAGGAGTCCAAACAAGTCTCATCAGAATCAGCGTCTTTCAAGCTAAAAATAAAAATGATACACATTTGTTAAACTAACAGTCAGGGTAGTTTACAGTAGGTGAGGCTGGGGATACTGGGACAGTTTTAACGCCTTGTTACAACCATCTCTGAACCAAGTACCTCCATTTGTATTTAAAAAACCTGAAGACCTGAACAGACTTGATTACATGCTAAGTTAATGATGATCAGTTGCATGCTAAGTCAGTGGAAAAGCAGGTCATAAGATAACAGGAAAAAAACAGCAAGAGGCAGAACATTTCCTGAGGATGGCACAGATGGAAAAAAAATCAGTGCCAAATAATTTTAACTGTGCTGATAATATTCAGTATAACAGCACGACCTCCAGTGTGATATTGCTTTTATACAACAATTCTACAAGCACCATTTTAACGATAAAAAGCCGCAACAGCTTATGATTTGTTTGTTTATTTAATGATATATTTAGCTCCACCAACACACATAGTCCAGCAACTGGAACAATACTGTTGCCAAGCAACACACATAACACTCCTGCGCACAAGCTTGCTACTAAGTGTAAGCTAGGTCTACACTTTACCACAGACCAGCTACTTTGTATCATGTAAGCTACATCTGTGTGTTTCCATTTATTTTGCGACCAATGAATGAATAGTCACAGTAACATGAACAATAAATAATCTTTTCATTTTGAGTATTTGTTTGATTAATTATGTTTATTTATAGACATGTTACAACCATCCCTGGCATATGTGACAACTGTCTCTGTACACTGGGAACAGTGGAGTACACAGTTGTAACAGTGGAGTGACTGTATTTAAAACAATTTTGCAAACTGTGCATAGCTCAGAAATCCAATAACTCCATTGTTTTAGTAGCTGATGCTTCAAAGCTTATAATATAGCAAAATTGGCTCTTTCAGGATAAACGGTTTTTGATTTATTTTCTGAATAAATCAAAAACCATTTATCCTGAAATAGCCAATTATAATATAAATGCAAAATCAACTTCTAACCTATCATAAAATAGATACAATTTATTCATAAATACACAATGTGTTGGGCTGTACACAAAGCAGTGAGTAAAGCAATCATAGATTTACAAAAGCTCCTCTTGACACTGCTGATGAGTCATTAAAGGGTCTACCGAAGGTTAGACAATTAAACAAATGAAATGTATCTGCACTCTGATGTGATTATATACACTTTAAAGACTTGATGTTGTCAGAAGTGATTGCAGAGTTGAACTTGTGACGATTGCAATATAATCAGGTTTTATATGAAGATGATAATGATGGCTACTGACAAAATAATTAATTTAGTAATGAATCGATCAATATATTAATGATATATTTCTGTCTTCACTAATTTTTTGAACAATAGCAGACATTTTGACTTGTCAGGAAAGCACAGTGTAACACTAATGGCTCTGTTCTATTCAAGTGTCCCAACAAATGGTGACACTGTGACAGTGAGCCAACACACCAGGACCCTGAAAGTGAAGCAGTTACATGGACTTTAGCCATCATTCATTTTATTATTGACACCTGTGTTTTTCCTGTGGTGACATGTTGGTGTTCGTACATGATGATGAGACACTTCCCCTGCAGCTTATCGATAGCCAGTCTAGGGCAGATTTGGATGCTGAGTCATGGAGCCACCACCTACTCACAGATCCAGAAGTTTAGCTATTTACATGGTGAATCATTCCAGTTGTATTCCCTGTCATAAAGCCTTATTTCTCCACAGTCTTCATCAATGCCTTGATAGCTGTTGGGCTCCCCAGCGTTCCAGTAGCTGAAAACAAACATCAAAGAATGTTCTTAGCAGGAAACACAACCAAAGAAGCTGGAGTGAAGTCTAAGAGGGTCGCCTGAGTGTTTCAGCATTACAAAAAATAATTTTAGTTTTTTGGTGACCCAAGGTGTAAAAGAGTTTATTTGAACAGTGGTGCAACAGCTTGGCCTAAAGAAAGTTAAACTGCTCAAATCTTTGATCAGCCCTGAATGAAACACCTAGAAGAAGCTGAGTGATTCATAATTTCCACCTCTGCAACACATAAAATCAAAGGTGGTGCAGGACTTCCTCCCCACTCACCTACTGGAGTGCTGCTCAGCGGCAGTGCACTCAGTACTGCCACCAGCTGGAAGTACTGGTGGCAGTAGTAGGAAGACCAGTTCCTTAATATATAGCAATACTACATATTAATCATTATCTTTAATAAAAAAAGGAATTTATGAACCTTGTGTTCAGTGCAGTCCCATCCACCCATGTCCATGTCCCCTCTGTCTCACTGTCAGTCAGTCCAATCCACCTGAGCCCTTTGAACTTTCTTGCAAATTCCTTGTTTACAGTAAGANGCCAGGACTTGTTAATAGAAGAAATGTAATAAAAACTGTGGTTGAAATACACCCATCCTTGTTGGGAGTGATTATCTGTTGAAGAAAGCAAAATAATAATAATGATAAATAAAAATGATGCTAATAAAGTTCACATAGGAAGTAGTATAAGAATATAAGAACAAAAAAACATGTTGGCCTAACAGGAGGTAGAAAAACATTTTTATAATGCATCTTTTTATTCCCATGTTAATGAGAATGTATTTGGTTTCTTCCTCGTACTCACCAAAGGTGATCATCTTCCTCTTCAAATCTTCTCCCTCTTCAGTCAGATTTTTGATAATGGCCTCATAATCTAGCATTTTTGCATCTGTAAGAGCAGAAAGATACATTTGTTCTACTGTAGTTAACCCTCCGTAATAAATGCTGTGTTTTAGTTGGGTGCCTCAACACACATGAATAAACCTGAGCTCACTGAATAAAAGAGAGTCTCAGATTTCCATTCATACCCAATTTATTCAATACCAAGACTGTTTAGGGACCCAGGATGCAGAAATTAGGCAGAACATAACATGTTTATACTGCATGATTTTTGCCCCAAACTGCATCATATCAATATAAAGGGAACATGTCTGTAAAGAGGAGACTCGTGGGTACCCACAGCTCCCATTTTTATTCAGATATCCTGAGGTGAGAGGTCGAGGGACCTCCATGAAAATGGTCACGCCCATCTTCCTCTTTGCCGAGAAGGTGGCGTGATATGGTCGATAACACTGGATTCCTTAGGTACCTATAGTCCCATATATCCCATATATCAACACTGAGGTTAGGGTGTCATGGGAAAAGACACCTACTCTTGTGTTAATTCTAGTTTATGTACACACCATACAGTATGCATGTGTATGTTTGGTGTGGGGCTGTGTTCATTTCATCTGCAATTCATTACTCCTGAAACTAAGTTGGCTCCACACTATACAGTATGTCACATAATCATCATAGCTGGTAAGTGTGTTTGTAGTTCCAAGCTTTGGTCTTGTAATGTTGAGATGGTGAATTTAAGTCTCAGGGTGAAATTACAGAGAAATGTAAGATCACTCACAGAGAGCAAGAAGCAGGGAAATGTTGGCAGCAGCTTGTAGGATACACAGGAGTCCAAAGCTCAGAGCAACCAGTCTGAAGAGTCTGTCCTCTGTGTGCGGAAAATCAAACATGCAAAACCACCATAATTATTATTAGGCAGTCAGGTGTGATATTGTGTTCTCTGATCTGCTTTCATTTCACTTCTTGTACACCCTCTCCTCATTAAATAGATTAAAAATTAACTTCATATGTAGCTTGTTGCCTAATTATGATATTTTCTGAATCAAAACCCCCACACCTGACTCTGATAAAAATGATGCCCTCCAAACTCACGCTCTGTTACTGAAAATGACTTACTCCTGGATGAAGCATCAGGCACGCTGTCATGGTCCAAAGTCATCTCAGCCTCCTCTTTGAGACAAAACTCAAAATATTTAACACACCAAAATATGACAAAGATGTGTAACAGTGTCTTCTGAGAACTGCGCTGAACTGCTTCTTCTTCTTCTTCTTCTTCTTCTCTGTTTCTGATTACCCAAGAGATAACACATTTATCACCTCCGCCATTCAGCAACCTCACTATCTCTTACACTTGCACATTCAAGACGATTTCCTCCATAGATTCATATCAAATAAAAACATCACAAGGTCATCAGGACGCACACACATCCATAACTTATTTATAGGTGCTTTAATTAGGTAAAAGTTAACTTTAATTTAATTTAATTTATGGATACATTTATATACTGTAGGTAGAATAAGTATTATTCGAATTACAACCTGCAGGAACTGAATCAGAGTAGCAATAATATTATCACAATCTTGTAATGATTCTCAGTGATCGAAGCAGTGAAACCAGCAGTAAATGAATGTGTGTGTTTGTCGAGGCTTATCTGTTTGTGTCTGTGTTAATGAGCCACTTTATGAGCAGCTTGTTTATAATCAGTGTTTCAGTTGTCTTGGAGTTTGGTGGCCAAGTTTTAAGACCACTGTCTTTTCATAGATCCAAAGCCGTTCATTATTTTAGCTTTTTTAATCATCATAGAACTTTATTTCTCTTCATGTCTGCCTTCATGACTGTTGGTGCCCCAATAGCTGACATCTTTAACATCTTTGACCTGTCTTTTTTTATGATCTTTCAAAGGTTCATATGATTTAACTACACACTTTCTGACAAACTGTTTCTATAAAGGTTAAGTCACTTCAAATTACATTATAACACATTCATAATTTCATCAGAGTAGAAATGTCAATTTTAAAAAAATCCTTCATAGGTTATATGAAATTTTAGAAGCAGGGCCGTGCCTGACCAATTTGGCACCCTACGCAAGATATTTGCTGCACTTTTCTCCACTGGCAGTTTGTGTGTGGGAGGGAAATCCACTTGAGGCTGCATCACTTGGTGCTGAGGTGGATGAGGTGGCTGCAGTTACATTAGTAGGCCCAGGATTTGCAGAGGTGGGGGACAAATACTTCAGAAGTGCATCTAAAAAGAGGTGATACATATTTTTGACAAACTGGGCTTTTACAATATATTAATCAAATAGCTGTTGATTGTGAAACCATCATGGCATAACCATAATAGCACCTAACATTACAGCCTGCCTCGATCTAATGACATTTTAAACACAGCAAACAGCCAAAATATAAAAAATGGAACTGTAACATCACAAATTGGACAAATCTGAAAATTGGAAAACATAAATATACAGTATATGAATATATGCCTGGTTGGTAAACAGTGAGTGGTTTGTGCAGCAGCACACTAAACATTAAAAGAAAAGATAGGCCAATATATTCAATTATGTTGCTTATTCATTCCATCAAACACTTTGAGTCTTTCTTTCCAGCTTTCTCTAAGATGGGAGCAACATTAACTGACATTAACTCTAGATGAATGCTTAAAGTATTCCTCAAACAAGTGGCTAATGAAGTCGCAGTAACACTGACGTTACGTAGTAACGTTAGTAGCCTAACCGCTAACCATTAGCGGCTAATGAGCTGATGTTAGCTTGCAAGTGCTTAAGTAACTGTAACTTACGTTGTGTTTCTACCATTTTAAATGAAGTGTTCATCACATCACATCATTACCTCGGTCTCGTTCACGTTTCTCCTCCTCTTCTTGTATTTGTTTTTGTACTGCGCCCCAGAGAGCTTCTGCCTCTTCATGACGATGGCACCCGGCTGTCAGTTTGTCACTCAGCAGCATCACATTACAGAAGACGGCAGGTAGCGGGGGGAGGAGGAAAGGGGCGCGGTTAGGGACCGTGGCGAAATTGATGCTGCCTGCCAGAGAGGTAGAAGGATGCCAAGCAGGCAGAAATTTAAATTAGAAATATTATTTCATCATTACTTAAAGACGTATGGCTATATGTACTGTTGTTGTTTTGTAGGGTATTCTTGTCTATTTTTTCGAATAGAATGGGAAAGAACAAAAAACACCTCACTCCCTGGCGCCCTCTGGCATGCTGGCGCCTATAGCATTTGCCTGACCTGCCCTATGGGCGGTACGGCCCTGTTTAAAAGGAGTCCTGCTCAGGATGACCCTGACAATGTGCATGTCAAATTCCATATGATTTTACTGTAATTTTAATTTGAATTACAGTATTTTTAAAGGGAAAGGCAACTTAAATGACACTAGAGCAGTCATAATTTCCTCATGTTCATTTATCATAATCCCCCTCTGATTACATCAGGTGCAGGACAATGACAACAGCATGACTCTGTTTGTTGTAAGGTTCCAATATGAGTTGCTCAACAGGTCATGTTAAAGATTATGTGTATGTATATTGTTTTAAAATAGTGTTTTATGTACCCCTTAACTTTGGGCACCTGCCCCTCTGAGGGTGTCTGCATGGGCCTGTTATACACAGTGTCACCAGCAGAGGGCGGTACGCACCCATCTAAGGGAACTTCCAGAAACAAATGGGAACGTCCAATCAAACAAGACTTCAGTTTTAAATGAGAGACAATAGTTCCTTCTCCCTGTTACTGAAACCCACAACAAACACCAAAACTGACCCAACGGTGTAGGAAAACAAACTTTCTGTTGAGGGCGTCGAAGGAGAGGATTGAGAGTGAATCACCTTATCATCTTACTTCATCTTTGGTTGTTGGATTCAGTAGTTTTGGAATAATCTGATTTGTGACTGAATCAGAATGGCAAGTAGTAGGCTAGTGGTTCATTGGCGGATGATGAAACGGAGGCTGAATGGACACAAATTGTGAGTAATGGGAGAGAAAGTAGGTACAGAAATAGCCAGATGACACAGTCAGGAAAAAGGGCATTAGAAGAGGACGAGGAAAGGTGAATTGTGAGAAAAAGATTATGATGGAAGAATTTAAGGTAATTCTTATATAGAAGGTGGGAAATGAGATAACATCGGTCAGCCCAATTACTCTGACGAACGGTTTGAGGAAGGCATTTGGAGATACTGGCCTACTGAAAACACAACCTGTGAAAATTGCACTACAAGAAGATGTTCAGCCCTATGTAGTGGCCACGGCACGCCGAGTCCCTATACCCCTGTTAAAGGCAGTGAAGGAGGAGCTGGACAGGATGGAGGCCAACGACATCATTGAGGCTATAACAGAACCAACTGAGTGGTGTGCGCCGATGGTGGCTGTCCTGAAAAAGACTGGAAAAACATGCATATGTGTTGACTTAAAGAGACTGAATAAAGCTGTCAAGAGAGGTTCATTCTGCCGACATCTGAAGAGATGATAGCTCAGCTGAGTGGCTCCACAGTTTTCTCTTCCTTGGACACAGCTTCTGGATTCTGGCAAATCCCTCTGGATAAGGATAGCCACAGGCTAACCACGTTCATAACACCTTATGAAAGGTACTGCTTCAAACGTCTCCCATTTGGGATTACCAGCACCCTAGAGATCTTTCAAAGAAAAATGGTGGAGACACTGGAAGGGTTGCAGGGAGTTGCAGTCTACATGGATGACATTGTTATCCATGGGAGGGATATGGGTGAGCACAATGAGGGGCTGCAGAAAGTCATGGACTGTCTAGAGTCAGCAGGCCTGAGGTTAAACACAGAGAAGTGCATGCTGAGAAAGACTGAGTTACACCAAAGAGCATGGATACCAAGAGGCGACGCTCCGTTACATTTCTGCTAACAGCCACTAGGGGCGCTACCCGCCATTTTGGGCTGTTGAGCTTGGACTGTTGCGCCCAGACAACATGGAAGATGTCAAGGAGAGAGGAGAAAAAAAGTAAAAGAAAACAGTGTAGTGCAATTAACTGCAACAACTATCGGTGGAACACTCCGCACCTGGCCTTCCACCGTTTCCCGAAGGATCCCGACAGAGGTGTACGTTTTAAAGTGTTTTAATATCAATTTAATATGCCAGTTTTCGTGGGAAGATATATGTATATATAGGCCTATATATAGCCTCTTGGACATTTATATCAGAACTGATTACTGCTTTAGCATTAAAAGATATATTAAAATAGCTTATATATTATTATTACTACTGTCCCCTTACTGTACAAACTGTAAATAAATCTTTATTCCTGACTAT